AGCTTGTCATTCTCTACATGCACACTACATTTTAATGGACTTACCGTGCCTCCTCCAGAATCTGCTTTTTATGCATCTGCCTCTGTGGATGGGCTGGGCAGCCCAAAGAGCCCATGATGCAAGGGCATTTATGCAGCGGAGAGGCCTTCATGGTGTGAAGGGAATGTGCTGCAGTGTGTGCGGCAGAGGGAGGTAGGCATCCCCTGCCTGTTCAGAAGATGGGCAGTCCTGCTACATGCTGTGATTGTGTATACTTCCAGTTCTGTGGGAAATACTTACCTAAAACAAAGCAATTTATCAGTAAAATGTAGCTATTCAAGAAAAATACAAAATGGAAACATCTCATAGATCATTTATCCTGTATTCTTCCCATAGTGGTCTATAGGCGCTAGTTGTGGCAGAAGGTCCCAGCTATTTTATCCTCAGACTGAAGGCTACATTTTTCCAGGACATAGGAATATGCAACATGGAGGGCCTCTTTTGGATAGGGCGGTATACAAACCTGATAAATTAATGGCTAATATACAGAATACTTAGCCTTTTAAAATGATCCTCTCATCCCAGAACATCATAACACCTTGCAAATTATGTGTGTCTGTGTTCATGACTGCAGGCACAATGTATATTAGAGAATATTTTTACAAGAATCATCCGTGCTCAGTTCAATTTCTAGTGGGTGAAACTTGGTAAATAATGTCTCCTCAATCCTGCAATACAGAAAATGGCTGTTAACTTATCTAATTGAAACTCCACGTGGAATTTAGAAAGGCAGAACGTAACTGACCAATTTTTAAAGTTGTCTAGAATTCCCAGGCTTAATTATGCTTGTGAAAATTGCTGTGGGATCTTAAATGACTTACTGTGATTATACTTTGTCAGTGTGTGTGTTAGTCTTTTACTCTAGTACTGTATCTCCCTACCACCTTGCTCTGATATTGCCTCATTATTGACTCTGAATCACAAATGCTAATTCTCACAGGAATTGTTTGTTTGAAGGCTTCTCATCTAAGATGAGGCTCAATTACGTTCATCTCACAAATTTGACAAGTTGTAGTTGAAAGTTGTGGCTAGTCGTAGTTTTTGTGCTCCTACTTCAGTAATGGCAGATAAGAACTTTCTACGTTTTCTTTTTAAAAAATTCAGTTATGTAGCATGGGAGTGGGAGACACTCTTATACTCAAGTTGTCAAATACTTTTCAATTAAAAAAAATAAATCTTACAACTATTTTGAACTTCTTTTAATTTTTTTAGACTTTGAAATTTCTCAAAGACAATAGTTTTGGGTCAAAGAGGTGCCTTTTTTCTGGCACTATGAAAAAAGCCATTCTCACTTGACCAGTTATAAGGTCTTGGAATAATTGCTTCCCATTTGTGTCACACAGCATAGTCTTTTGATCAGTTGCCAAATCCCCTCTTCCATTAGTACTGTGCATGCAGTTCTCAGTGCCCCACCTATGTAGTGTTAAGGCAGCTTAACCTCTGGACAGTACACAGGAAAAAAAAAAAAAATTTCTGCTGCTTTCCTACATTGAAAAATAGGCTTTGGCCCATGTGAAGATGCACTGTATTAAGAACCAAGGACATTTATACACATACTTTGTTCCAGTGATGTGCCAGAGATCTGCCGCTTCAGAGCAGACTTGATTAATCCAACCCCACCCATTTGCCTTAGGTGCTAGAGTCTCAGGGATAGCTCAGTGAGCAGAGGGAAATTCCTCTGTTTCCTGCATTTGTTTTGCCTCAGGCTCACAGGCAAAGGCAAAACCAGCTGTGGAGGAGCAGGATAATTTCCTTTCATTCCCTCAAGCTGCTTGAGACTAGCAGGGGTTGAGGCAAGGTTCAGAAGGAGAAGATTCCCCTCAGCTCCTGGAGCTGCCCCAGGCTGGGGGACCCTGAGCTGGGGTGGGGGGAAGCCCCCCAGGCCAGGGGCCCCCATGCTGGGTAGCAGGGGCAGGTACCTGGCTGGGAGGACTCTTTCTCTCTTGCTTCTGTGGCAGCCTTTGAAGCAATCAGCAGCTGGGAGGTGGGGAGGAGAGAAGGCTGCCAGGGTCTGAAAAGCCCACACCACAGGGCCTTCCCCTCCCTCCAAGTCCTGTGTAGATGCTGGTGAGGGGGGGC